ACATTTTTGGACCAGTCTGTAAAAATGAACGTTTTCACTCTGGTTAGGAACCACTTAAGGCCAGATAAAAATATTATGGACAAAGTAGACTCATTTTATAAGCCATGAGAGTTTACGGATCCAGATTTCGACTTACGATGATTTTTCTATAATTTTTCTAAAAACACGGACAGAAAAGTCAAAAACTAGAAATTGTCTTCATCATACTAAATGTTTTTTTTATACCTGTGTGTGAATGTAAGTTTATATGTTATAATCATCTAGACATGATAACTTACATGTATTTATATATTTGAGTATATAAATGGACTTAATAAAATATTTATAATAAACTATAATTGGTATAGTTTGAGAATCACAAAATCACACTATCATTTCAGAAGAACCATATAATATTTCAATGGTATAAATTATTTCATTTTACAAGAAAAATGAGTCATAGTTCACGTAAATCGGTTGATGCTCTTGTGAGACATTCTCTTCACCGTACCTACCTAGCGTACACTTTAATTCCTGCATTATAACCAGAGTCTCCTGGAGGGAGAGCAAGATAGTTGTGTATAGATCTATACGGGATTGACAACCCCACACCTAAGTTGGTCGCTACAGTTAGACCGGCAAGTGTAGGGTGACAAATGTCTACTAATTCCGACGCCTGAAGAACGTCGTTCAGGCATATCAGTCATGCTAAGCATGGTTATAATAACTCACATAGGGATTAACAAAATTACTCGGTTTACGGGGTAACTTACACTTCATTAGTTTTATAAAAAGATAAAACTACATGCTATTTCTCAGTACAACATAACTTACATTTTTGGTCTTAGGGTTTAAGACTACATTTTACATTTACGAAAATATTGGATTTTCGGGTAACATACATTGTCATTTTACAAGGAAAAGATACAAAGGAAACACATACATTTTAGTATTGGGTATAGGACTTACAAATCGTTTTTAAAGAAAATATCGGATTTTCTAGAAGTATACAAAAACCATTTTCACACAAAACCGTTACAAATCCTTCTCATACAAAATGTTTATGAACTCACCAACTTAATTGTTGACACTTTTCAAAATCACTTGTATTCTCAGGAAACCAGTAAAACATGTATTCAAACCATTTTGAGGGTCGGCGTCGCTGTCGCATGTTTTCTACTTTTCAGTTATTTGTATTTAACTTTTGAGCAAACAAAGTTTGAAAACAATGTAAACTGGAATTCTTAATGTATGAATGGTTGTGTTGCTATGTTTCATTTATATTCAATTGTTATGATACGGTGAAATGACGTCATCCACCCTCGGACGTTTCCGTCGTTCCGGTTCGGGGGTGTGACACATATCAGCAACTAGCATATAATCATGCAGATCTATCTCATACCCAACATATCAATGTATAGCAGGATATCAATCCAATGGTTCGGCCTTGGTGCCTTCGACCCGCAAGTACAGTAAGGAAAACTCACCTCACAGTCTGAACAATATCTGATGAGGTCCCGACTCTGAATCTCATCTCTAATCGTCAACCTATTCATCCAATGACCAATTCTCAAACACCATTCAAATTACTCAAAATACCCCTTGGTCAAACTTGGTCAAAGTCAAAGTCAAACCGATCAAAATCAACAAGTCAACTGAGTCAACCCAGCCGAGTCAATCCAGCTGAGTCAACTTAGTCAAGTTGACACATAACGTGTACGCGGGGCGTACCTAAACCTTGACCGCAGACGGGCGAGTTGACCTCGTACGCACTGCGTACTCAAGTTACGTAGGGCGTACGCCCAGACTTCTCAAAGCTTCATTAAAAGTTTAATGCCTTAAGCTCTTACGTCCAAATTTCAGATCCAAGGCTAAATCATCCCAAAGAGTCATAAAGTTTCCAACTTTATGACTTTGCATGTCCATTAAGTGCTTAACTCAACATCTTAATACATTAAGACCTTGTAATGAATGCGTGGAGCAAAATTAACCGTTAAGACCCCATTTTTATGACTCAAGACCATTCCTAAGGTCTGAAAGGACGACTTAATGGGCCAAGATCAGGCCATGCTCAAGAATCACCATTTTGGGACCAAAAAGTGACTTAAAAGAGTGAAAATGTCTAGATCTACAAGATGGAGTGGCAAATATGCAAGCTTTATACCTCCTTGAGGTTGCAAACAAAGATGAAATCCCAGATCCAAAGTGCTCTCAAGCTCCAAGTTCTTCTCACCACCTCATTTTTTCTCCAAGAACACTTCTAAACACTCTAAGGGCTCCAAAATGCTCTCCTTCTCTTAGGGTTTGTTTGGGGGATCGATTTCACAGAATGAGGCTGAGTAAGAATGAGATGTAAGGCTATAATGATGCTTAAATAAGAGCCAAACCCTAAAAAATAGTGTTTGCATGATTCTCACATATGCCCTGCGTACGAGGTGTACGTCCAACGTACTAACGCGCGCCCTAGTACGCTTAGCGTACGCTCAACGTACTCCCCAAAGTCCAAATTTACCAAAGTGCCACTATGGGCCCTTTATGCACTTTTTCTTTTACTTAGGGACCAAAATGCAATATAATCCAATTATAAGGTCAAAATTAGAAGTATCTCATCAGTGGGATGTTACATATTTCTTTCGACTCTCTCGAGGGTGATCGTTGCTTTGTCTTCATTGTTTTTTTATCATACATGTGTCATGATTTCACCTTATTGAAATAACGGTTTTTTCATGGCTTTCAGATTGCCCTTCGAACATCCTCTTTTAACGCGATGCTTGATTCTCCTTTGCTTTCCTCTTCAAACTTTCATCGATAAATATTGGTTCAAATGGTTAGGGATGTAAACAAACTAAACGAACACAAACAAGACTTGTACACGTTGTTGGTTTAAATTTAACCGAACCAAAAAACGAACACATATAATAAACAAACATATTTTCTTGTTTGTATTTATTTGTTTAAAAATTACATTGTTTATGTTTGTTTAATAAGATGCCAAACAAATATAAACAAACAAACATAAACAAACACAAATAACATAAATATTCAAACGTGTAATCGTCCATAATTAAAAGAGTTATACGTAAATCCTAGAATACAAAACACCCAAAATCATGAAAGACCTCAAATATAAAGATGAAATATGATCTTAATCCAAATATATTATCGAACAAAAGTAAATGAACGTTTTACAAATAAATATAAATGAACATTCACGATTATAATTGAAAGAACGAGAGCAATGTTCATATTTGTTTGTTTAACGAAACAAACAAAAAATCATGTTCATGTTTGTTTGTTTATATAACAAAGAAACATAAACAAACGTTTTGACAAATGGTTAATCAAACGTTAGGTTCATTTACAGTGCTACAAATGATAATAATTGGTTAATATAAAAAGTTAACAATAATCTACCTATCATAAAAAATAAAACCTAAATATGTCACATGTCATATCTTTTAAGCATAACGGTGTCACATATCATTTTTTTAGTATTTATTATTATTATTTTATTTCACTTGATATAAATCTCATATTTTAAAGAGCTTATTTTTTTAAATTTTCATTTAGGAATAATAAAATTTAGAAGTTAATTTGAATTAAAAAAATTTAACAATAAATTAGAAATGTAATGTTTTTTTTTTTTTTTTTTTAATGTTATTCTGATTTGTTAGCCGTATAATACACGAGTTTATAACACTACTAGAAAACTTGGGCAATAGCTACAACACAATCCATAGGTATTCAGTTGGTATAAGGCAATACCTATGGATTTGCTATGGAAAAATTTTTGTAGCATAAACGCCCGTGAGAAATTTATACCTATGAATTTGCTACGGACTAGCTACGAAATAGCTACGGCCTATTCTGTAGGTATAATACCTACAGATTAGCTACATAAATGAATTGCTACGGAATGCCGACAGGTGTGAAGTTTGACTAAAATTGAATATTTTCCTACGTAATAGCTATAGAAACACATGACTACGGATTTCCTACAGATTACCCCACGAGAGTTGAGTTTGACCAAAATTGACATTTTTCCTACAAAATAGTTACAGAACCGTTTAGCTACGGATTTGCTACAAATTAACGACGAAATTCCTACAACCCACATTACCTATGGATTTTCCGGGTATTCCGTCACCGATTACTTTTTATCTAAAAAAAAACAACAAAAAATTATAAAAATTCCATTTTTTATGGCCAAAATATTGAAAACCCCCATTACGTTAAACTTATAATAATATTGAAATTCTACGACAAAACTAATAACATTACAATTAAACCAATAAACATCATCTAATACATTAAAAAAATATCAAATACAAATACATATTACAAATAAACATTGTCTAATACCACATTAAATGTGTCTAGTAAGATATAAAAAATTTCCTATTAGAAATGCTATAAATAACAATATATCTTCATTTTGCGACAAATATAAACTATTTAATATATATTTTTATTTTTATTTATAATGATAATGTATTTATATTATATTTCTCTATAAAAATATATTTATATTTCATTATCGTTGTGCAATATACTATGTTGAGTATCTATAAAAATACACGTTGTATTACAAATAAAAAATCTTATGCTAAAAACTGAAATCCAGAAAATTAAAATAAAATATAATATTATTTCGATTATTTTAATATGATTTCTTATTAATAATTATTTCAATATACTTTATCGCTGATGATTATTTTAATATAAAAGTATCATATAATAATAATAATTATTATTAAAAATAAATGACCAAGGACCGAGCTGGTGGACAAATTAGCGGGGTCTGATTTCCCTTTCAAATGGGTTACATTTTAGTTATAACACATTATTATATAAATGATTAGTAAGAATAAGATGGTGCAACAACCAAAACAAAAAAAAACATCAACTTCAATTAACAGAATTCTAGTGTAGTGGAAGCCAAGAAATGCTCATAGTTAATTTAATCTTTTTTCTCTCTTATAAGTCTCAATATCTCATTGATTTTATGAAGCATCTTGTATTGTGTGTTTTGCATGCATGTTCTTTTAAGGTTTGTAAAACACTAAAACTTGAGTTTGAGAAGATGGACATGGAGGAGGGATTGGTGGTGAGAGGGAGGGTGGAAATTGATACACGAAAACCATTCAATTCAGTAAAAGAGGCTGTTTCTTTGTTTGGAGAAAAGGTTTTAGTCGGCGAGGTTTACGCCCACAAACTCAAAGAGGTACTCTCGTTCCCTAAATAAAAAAAATATGTTTTTTTTTTTCGTATTTTTATTCTAATTGTGCATTATGTTTCTTAAACTACGTAATTTGTTGAAGTACTTCAAAAACATCGTTTGTCATTTTACTTTATTTGATCATTTTGTGCTCACTATTGCATAATAGCAAAAGGTCGACATTTTATACATCCTTTTTAAACAAATATGGGTGTAATATAAATACAAGACTTGTATAAAATCATTTTCTTGATCTGCCAAAGATAAAGTTAACAAGTAAAAAATGGTCGACATTGTAAGTTGTAAATTTGTAAGTACAATTAATCCGTAGATATGTAATTGTTTTTATAGAACAAAACTGATTTACTTGAATTAATAATGTATCTTGGCCAAATTATTATATGATTCATTGAATTGGGAAGTTATAATTGCGGTGAAAAATTATTTTTTATAGATGGAAAGTGTAGAAAGGGAAAACAACCAACAACGAACAATAGTCGGACTTGGAGAAGTAAAACAAACCTTAGAAAAGGCAAAAGACGAGGCAAATTTAATGACTGATTATCTTACGTCGCTTAAACAACAACTTGAAGAGACAAAATCAGAACTCGACCAATTGAAGTCAACAAGAGGATCCAATCCAAATTATCAAACACCCATTAACCCTGAAATAGAAGATATCAAATTCATGGAAAACCCAATACCAACTCCTATGAAACCGTCGACAAATGTCAAAAACGAACCACATGATGATCAACATTTGTTTGAATCCAAACAAAACAATTTGGTTAAGTTTGATGATTCTCCACCAACCAAAGTGATTGTTGAAGTGCCAAAAATGCAAGAGATAAATCCTTCCTCCTTCAAGACCAAGAAAGCAAAAAAGAAGACCCTAATTCCATTACTTAGTGGGATTTTCTCCAAAAGAGGGTGATCAAGAAGAAAGTTGTCAAATTAAGATTTTCCACCCAAGTTTGTTACTTCAACTTGAAATATCGATTTGATTCGGTTTGTTTTCTATCATTTGTAAGTCTCGTATAAGAAATGTCAGGATTTACAAGCAAAATTGAAAATGAAACTAATCAAACCAATCAACCAGAATGTTTTCCTTCATTCTCTTTGAGTTCTATGTCAATTCCCATTTTGTAATGTATTGGAAATTTATGAAAATTAATATAATACCATTGCTAGAAATTTTACATGCATTTGTTATCTTCTTGTTAATAACAATAAAAATAGACACAGCTCATTATATATTGGGCTACATTTTACATGGGCTGAAGCCTTAACTATCTGAATCAAGAAAAGAAGCTATTGACTTGACCCATCTACTTTTTCCAAACCACGGAGGAGACGTCAGACGACGGCGACATGGTGGAATCCGGCGAATAAAACCCTTGTTCCGTGTATAGCCCTCGTTTTCGAAAATTGAAGACGTTGTTATATTTTTGAGAAAAATTCAGGTCGAGAATAGAGGTATTCCGATCGCTTTTCCTTAAGAAGCTTGTCCATGGCAGGTGAGTAATTTAATCGAATGAGTTTGAACTTGAACATGATAGTAGTGTCTTGTTGATAATCGAGTGGGTTGGATGATCGTCCTCGTATTGTGTGTAGGTGGACAAACAGATGGAGAAGACAAGGTATCATTGGAGCTCACAGAGGAAATCATTCAGAGCATGGAAGTAGGCATGGCCTTCCGTGATTATGTAAACCTCTCTCCCTATAAATTTCATTTCTAGTTGAAAAATCTATGGTTATTTCACGAAATTATCCTTTTTCCGACGAATGTAGTATGATAGCGTTGAGATTGGAGTCCTTGCTAATTTCCAATTCGTAATCAATGCCATTACTGAGACCTATATAGCTCAATGCCTGCTTCATTTCATCTGCAACATGTAGTTGAAATTCACACAAAATTGTGTGTCTGTGTGTGTGTTGGGTGGTCAAACTTCTATTCAAAAACACCTACCATATCTTCATCTATATTATCATATATCAGCAACTGTGTTATATCATATTGCTGTGTTCAATATAATCATATCAATAAATGCATTTTCAACCTCCTGACTTTGGTATTGCATTTGAAGTTTATATGCATTGTTTTCCATATTCTTTTTGTTATCATATCAATGAATGCATTTTCCATGGCACTTTCTCGATATATAAGTTCATTTATGCTCATAAATTTGCACTACACTTTTTCAAGTCCTTTAAGCAAAACACTGAAACAAAACCTTCATTTCTTGCAGAATGGTAGAATAAGTTCAATGGATTTTCACAGGACATCAAATTATTTGGTGACTGCTAGTGATGATGAATCCATTCGCCTCTATGATGTATCTAATGCAACGTATGTCATGTGTTTTATGTCTATAAACTTTCTTGATTTTCTGTTTCTTTTATTTACATTGAATAATCTCTCATTCACAGATGTTTAAAGACAATCAATAGCAAAAAATATGGTGTTGACCTAGTTTCCTTCACTTCACACCCCACAACTGTTATATACTCCTCTAAGAATGGATGGGATGGTTAGTATATCTATAATTCTATATCATTATTGTTTTTACAGGTGTGCAATTTACTAATTACTTGTATTTATCTTTATTTTATTTGCTAATGCAGAATCTTTACGCCTTCTTTCCTTGCATGACAACAAATACTTGCGATACTTTAAAGGTCATCATGACAGGCATGGTTTGAATCTCACATCATATTTTGTTTTACTTTCATGTAATTTTTTATTATATTACTTAATATTTTATGTTGGTGATTCTTCCAGGGTTGTATCTCTTAGTTTATGTGCTCGAACAGAATGTTTTATATCTGGCTCTCTTGATAGAACTGTTCTTCTTTGGGATCAAAGAGCTGATAAATGTCAGGTTGTCTTATTGTATATGTATGTATGCATGTATGTATGTGATTTATGCTGATTAAAGATTTGGATTTAGGGACTTTTACGTGTGAAAGGAAGACCAGCTACAGCTTATGATGATCAAGGGCTTGTATTTGCAGTTGCTTTTGGAGGGTCTATAAGGATGTTTGATTCTCGGAACTATGAAAAGGTTAATAATTGAAAGTTGTATTTTGTTTTGTGAAAATTGAAATTTTAAGTGATGAGTAATTGACTTAAGTTTTTGTCTCTTGAAGGGTCCTTATGAAATATTCTCTGTTGGTGGAGATGTATCTGATGCAAATGTTGTGAAATTTAGTAATGATGGTAGACTTATGCTTTTGACAACTAAAGATGGCCGGATTCATGTGCTTGATTCTTTTCGTGGAACACTTGTGAGTATCTTTACTATATCAAAATGTTATTGATTATTTCACTTTATAGTTATAACTATTCTGGATGTTTTACTGATGAGATTTTTTTTTTTTATGTTTTGTGCAGTTGGGCACGTATAATGTAAAGCCTGTGTCAAGTGATTCCACCTTGGAGGCCTCTTTTAGTCCCGAGGGAATGTTTGTAATATCAGGTAGTTCAAAAGTTCTACAATAGCGCCCACTTTGTTACATATGACTAGACAGGACAAAACAGGTTGTACTGTGTTTGACATGTAGTGGAACAAAATTGATGTTTGTAGGACAAAAGTTGCAATATTTTGTCACGCACCCAAAAAAAAGTGGAACAAGATGGGACATGGATTTGTTCTCGATCTCGTTTGTGCAAAAGACGTAAATGCCCTTCTCATTCTCATTATCGGAAATAGCACTAGAAAGACTGTCTAGTCCTGTCTTGTCCAGTCCCATGTCCCATGTATAACAAACACAACCTTCGGCTTTGTTTGTTAAATGGGACTGGACGGGATAGGATTAGACAAGTTTTCTAGGGCTATTTTTGATGATGAGGATGAGAAGGGCATTTACGTCTTTTGCACAAATGAGAGATCGAGAACAAATCCATGTCCCATCCTGTTCCACTTTTTTTGGGTGTGTGACAAAAAATTGCAACTTTTTCCTACAAACATCAATTCTGTTCCACTACATGTCAAACACAGTACAACCTGTTTTGTTATGTCTTGTACTTTACAAGGCCGTAGGGACTAATCAGACTGTTGCTTTTGCAGGTTCAGGTGATGGTAGTGTCTATGCTTGGAGCATTCGGAGTGGCAAAGAAGTATGACTCACTAACTCTTTTAAAAATCGCACCTTCTCTCCACACTCCCATAATTTAAAAATAATAATAATATAAAAAAATTGAGCTTAGAAAGGAAAAGTATAATTCAGACTTCATATGCTGCAGTCCAGGATTCTGTTCTATCTCGTTGCCATGATCAAACCGTGGTTTTATGCCCTAACTTAATGCAAAACTATCTCCTGGAATTTCATAAAATTCAGAATTGGTAAAACAAAAAAGTAGTTTATTGGGGGTTTTGGACACTCATCATCTTTATTAACAAGAGTACACAACGTAAATATTAAAAAAAGGATAATCTCTAAAATGACCAACCGGGAGGTGATCGAGCACCTTTTGAATAATTATCACAAACTAACCATCAATTTTGCAAAAAAAAGGAAGTTGCAAAATTACTTTTTGTTTTTCGCGAAAGTACTTCATGAATGGTCTACACTAGAATTGGGCAAAAAAAGGAATTTCACAAACAAATGAGATATCTGCAAAAAAGGTAATTTCCGCCAGAAAAAAATCATGCAAAGAAAAATGAATTTCACAAAAAAAGGGATTTTGCTGAAAACTAAAAAGTTTGTTTTGTGGTGGGAAGTGGGAACCATTCATAAAGTATTTTCGGCAAGTCTTTTTTTTTTTTTTTTTTAAATAATTAAAATGGACGGTTATTTTGTGATAAATGTTCAAAAAAGAGTCATTAAACACCTATTTTGGTCATTTTAGCACTTCATCCCATAAAAAACCATTTTATTCACACAAATCCCAAAAAAACACTATACTTGGAAAACCGCGACACTTGCAAAAATTGTGGAATATTTATAAGTAAAATGGTTATTTTAAGAGCTAAACCCAACATGATGGTTAAATATTTTGCAGGTGGCTAGTTGGCTGAGCACCGAAAACAACCCCCCGGTAATAAAATGGGCTCCTGGTAGTCTAATGTTTGTTACTGGTTCTTCTGAATTGTCGTTTTGGATCCCGGACTTATCAAAATTGGCAGCTTATATTGGAAGAAAGTAGTACATAAATTTGAGCGTGTGTGACTTTGTGAATTATTAAAAAAATCATAAATATATTATGATTGTAAAAAGAAAAAAAAAAGATACAGCGTACTGCACTCGATGTTTTTTAACCTTACGTAAGGGTAGACAAAGTGAAGGTAGAAAAGGCAGGAAGGAGTCATACGTGTACTTGTACTTTAAGTTTATATGAAAATGGTAATTCTTTTTTTTATATACAAGAGCTTTGGTTTAAAAGGCTTTCAAATCTGACGCCATTAAGTTTCTCCAGTTTATTACTAGATAACATTAACTATCTTGGATCATCATCATGCGTTGACGTACGTCCCTCATCATTTTGGATTTAAATAGACTGAATTTGTAAATTGTTGGGGTTCTGTTGATCTCTTGTTAAGTTATTCTTTTTGCTTAAGAAAAAGAAAAACCTATCTACTATGTTAAATTTTAGAATTATTAATTAAAATATCATATTGGGAGGTCTTAATCTGTGTTATGTCACCAAACAACTAAATTTTTTCAGGCTTTAAGAGAATAACCACAGTTATTGTGAACATATCAGAGTTTATAACTCGTGAGAATGCTTTGTTGATAAAAAACAACTCTAATAAACTCACATGTTTAATTTATTCTTAGCAGAATAATATTTATGATAGATTCATTGTCCCCACTTGATACAACTCCATAATTGTTGGTGCACCGCTTTTTATCTTGTGAGAATCAATGTTTTGTTCGTTTCCGACATAACATTTAACATTTAACTGTGCACATACGAGTCATAATTTTTTCTTCATTAAAGAGTCGTTGGATCATCTATTTCTCTGTCTATTTAAAAGAGTTTCAAGGTTATGTTTTTACATACTTCTCTCATTAATGCAATGTCTTTTTTGACGTCTTTCGATTTTTTTTTTTTTTTTTGGAAGAGACCACAACCTTGGCAAACTTTATTAAAACAAATAAAAGAATACAATCAACAATAACAGTTCAAAATGAAAAGATAGTAAAGCAAACAAACATCTATCCTATCCCAGCCAATCCAAAGCCAACAACAGAGCCACTTCCTAATACAATACAATTTCCAACATCTAATCCAAGCTAGAACTATAAAATCCCAACAAAGTCCATTGACAGCCACAACAATAATAAAGAAATACACAAAACTTGTCGACAGCCACTCCAAATGCCCACCAAAACCTCTTAACAACCTCCAGCAACACTTCCCATTCTATCCCCAAATAACATCTATATAATCGCCACTGTATTTGCTCGCCACTGTATCCCCAAATAACGTCTTTCGAATTGTTGGTCATTCATTATGATATTGATTCAATTTTCTTTCCATACAACAAACAAGTATTTCCTTCTAAGTTGATACCGTTGTGGTTAATAAAATCATGAGTAAATTACAGTCTTGCTCCATGTGGTTTGCACGAAATAACACTTTTGGTCCTACTATTAACAAAATAACACCAATGGTCCTTATTAAGGATACTGATAACACCATTGGTCCTCTGAATGTAACCCTGTCTCCTTTTCCATCCATTGGCAACCGTTGGGCAATTAGAGGGGTAATATCGTAAATTACATCACCATTCACTTCACTCTGTGCTATAATTAACTAACAACCCCATCATTTCTTCTTCCCTCTCCCTGATACTCGATCTAGAAGCTTCAACAAACGAAAATGGTGATATGCAGTTGTGGTAAGCTAGCGATTGTGATGACTTCATGGACCAACACCAATCCTGGTTGCAGGTTTTGGTGTTGTGGGGGTACAAGAAACAATTGTGGCTTCTTGGGTTGGCTTGATCGTCCGATGTGTCCATGATCTGTTGAGGTGATTCTTGGTTTGCTTCTGTCAATGAATGAGCTGAGGCGTCAAGTGGCTAAAGGTAAGAACTATAAGTGTCTCTTCTATGGACCGTGGGTTTTCTTTACCATTGCATATCTCTCTGCTATGTGATGAAGGTTCAAGTGATGGTTGATGAATGATGGTTTTTGGGTATTAAGTTTGGGGATTTGTTGTTATGATATGATGTAAAATAAGGTTGTGGGTATGGGATGGTATCTGTTGTGTAATAGGGTTTTCAAGAAGGGTTTAAGATGTGTGTAATGGAAACTGAATCCTTTATAAAATACCTTATGTTCAATCAATGGAGATGAAAAGCTTAAGATAATGTATCTGTGTTTAATTATGTCAATGTGATTTATTTATTGATGTTTCTTTATTCAATGGATTGAAATGTTTCTCAATTTGTATGAAGTAATAAGAATGGGCAGATGATAATGTGTGTATATGCAATGCAATGCAAATGTGTGTATATTAATAAGACTGGGCAGATGCAAATATGATGATAAGATACATTAATCTAAAGAGATTGAATATATTTGTGTTTTAGCAATGTACTCTCATACTTCCGACAACCTGATCATTCAAGTTACTTAATACAGTAGACATAATATGGACCAACCTAATCTAAATACAATTGTTTATAATAGCATCCTACTTTCATTTCTTTGTATTACAAACTGATTTTTCAAATTATTGAATGAATCCAAATAGACTGAATATATTAATGTTTTAGCAATGTACTTTCATAGTTTAGAAAACTTGATCATTAAACTTACTTAATACAATGGACATAACATAACAACCAAGTCACAATTACATATATCATACCAAAAGACTTACATTACAAATGTAAGAGAGTTAAGTTATACATTCTAGAAAAAAGGGTTACTAATACCCACATATGGATGGAATCCATAACTTAACTAACCAAAAGAATAGTGTTCATTACATGACTCTATAAACCTAACAACATAACTTAATTAGCCCAACATTACCACTTGCACCAAAAATACCACCTCCTTGACCTTCACAAGTCCTTGAACTATGTCGTGTTTTCTTGTATTTTCCACAAGTTATAGCAATATACTTCCTTGGTAACTTCTGTGGTTGACTACTAGACTGCTAATCAATACCCCTCCTCCTTTTTTTAGGTCTACCAACCTGCTAGCACACATAATGAATACATTAAACCATAAATACTAGATTAATACTAATTTGAAGGTTAGATTTTATTTACATGAACATGATGTTTTTTTTGGGGGAGGGGGGGGGGTCAACATAGTTGGGATGTCACTCTTTCACCATATTTCCATACCATTTATTGGACCAATCTTAAAAGAGTACATTTGCTTCCATGTACTAAGCTTGTAACATGGATGCACCTAATGTTCCACTACTCCAACATCTTCATTATTCACTCCTATATCATACAATGCAATAACTGAAGGTTTGTATCGATCGAATACACTCAAGTATGAATAATGAATAACAAACAAAGAACAAAGAACAAGATGATCACAAAGATACTTTCACTAAGAAAGAGGGTTCTTAAAAAGAGAACAGGTGACAAAGACGGCACCAAGCTCTATTAGGGTTTAACCCTAATAGTACAATATATACGATTACGAAAAAGGAGATCCCACTATTTTAGGGATGTATACTAATCTATGTAAAGGTGTGATCCTAATCACTAAGATTACAGATCAGACATCTATTCTATATATACAAAGAATATCTTCCTAATATACAAACAGTCACTAAGATCATTGGGTTCACGTTGTCGCTGATCATGCTGATGTTGGCGCTGACGCTGGTGGACAACATGTGGTGTTTGACTCATCAGATCATAAGGTGTGACCTTACAATCTCCCCTATCTGATGATGTCAAAACTAATCTTCAACAAGTTCTTTAGCATTTGCTCCCCCTGAGAGTAAGAACTTTCTTGTGGTTTCAAAACATCTCCCCCCTGAGAAAATGAATGTGTTTGAGTATATAGTTTTCCTTCTTTTGCTCTCCCTTAGATTCAACTCACCCTTAGATAGACAACAGCTAAGTTTTGCTCCCCCTTAGATGTATAACCATATTCTTTCAAGAGTGTTTGCTATTATATGAATGGTCAAATAACATCATAACATAACTTAACATTTCTCCCCCTTTTTGACATCAACAACATAAAAGGATTGATAAAATTAGTCAATGTATCAGAGTTGTATTATCAGTGGATCAAAGTTACAACTGACGAACGGGTGAGATTGAGATGTCTCCTGATAGCATGTGTTTGTGCTATCATTCACTAACATAGTATTACAAAGTCTCATCATCGTATGGTTTTATACGCTGAATCATTGACTTCTTTTCTTAGAAGAATAAAGGGCTAGAATGGGATGATGCGTGTAATACATTCCGGTACAGAATGTACCCATCGACACAGAGTTTTTGAATTCTCATTAGTGTCTGGCTTCATACGATGAATCATAAAATTATAAAGAAGAATGTATGGCGAGAATGGATTGGTGCCTGTGATAAACTACAATACATAGCCTAATCATCAGCACAAATTTTTCAAGCTCTCATCAACATATGGGATGTTATGCTGAATCATAAAGCTTTTAATAAGAATTTAAGGACAAGAAGGGATTGGTGCGTGTGATAGCCTACGGTACATAGACTAACCATCGACATAAAGTTTTAAACTTTTATCTAGGGATGAGCTTTAGAACCGGATCGGTTCGGAACCGAAACCGGTTTTCCTATATTATAAGAACCGGGAACCGGACCGCCGGTTCTAGCGCCGGTTCCGGTTCCGGTCCCGGTTTTTCGGTTATTTTTCAAACTAGAACCGGTTGAAATATTATAGATGATATCTTATCTTCCGGAGCTTGTAAATGATTCAATATTTAACCAAATTATGACTTTTTACATTCTGAATTGAAGTACAAACACTAAATTACATGATGAAAAAAGAATCAAGTAATTTCGACTTCATATGAGTGAGTTATACACATTTTAAAAGCGGGACAGATTCCAAAAAAAATGCTGAAACAGAAAATACGCAGCATTGATATGTTGTCTTCCGGGGTCTATAACTGATTCAATATCTAACCAAAATATGTGTTTTTATAGTCTAAAATGAACTACAAACACCAAATTACATGCTAGAAAAAAATCAAGTAATTCCGACGTCATATGAATGAGTTATGCTCATTTAAAAAAAGTGGGACAGATTCAAAAAAACAAAAAAAGTGCCGAAATAGAAAAAACGCAGCATCAATATTCTTTCTTTCGGGGCATGTGTCTGATTCAATATCTAACCAAAATGTATGT